GATCTTTTGTATAACTTAGTACATGATAATAAACAATATCATATAGAATGTAGAGATACTTCTATATTTAGTGCATATTTGGTGCTGATTTTTCACTTTAAAAAATCAAATTTTTTATCGTTACTTTCCTAAGTTAGTTTGCGAGCTAAACAAGTCTATCTATGGACTCAAACAAGCTTCGAGGCAATGAAATGCTAAATTGACGACATACATATTATCACAGGGTTTTAAACAATCTAAATTAGATTATTCATTGTTCAGCATGCAGGAAGGCTGCTCATACATAGTTGTTCTCATTTATGTGGATGATATAATTATAAGAGGCAATTATTTGAATGAAAGAATTTTTTCCTGGTGATGCTACGAAAAAATCGTACCTGAAAGATCTCGAACTGGATGATTGAACTATGAACTTGGACGAACTTAAATGAGCACGAACGGTCTTCGAATACCTAAAACAAAAGGCAACGAGGTGTGTGCTTGTCGTTCCTCAAATACTTAAGTCAGGTAAGAAATTTAGTGCGTGAGGCTATGAACTGAAAGAAAATGGAAAACATACCTCAATAATGAGACTGGTTCATGTATTTATAGGTGTGGGTGACGGTACTCCCTAGAGGGATTTAACCATCTGTGATCCTTATCCTTGTTGGCTGAGGAGTTCGTATTTTACTCTCAGTGTTCCACTTGTGTTTGAGTTAAAGAGGGAGTCAGTTAGGGCGAGCACTGTAGTTGGAATACGATATTCCTCTTCAGGAATCATGTCAAGGGGTTGATGATGTCCTCTGAACTACAATGCCCGACCTTTTTCTATAGGCCTGACCTCACACTTGAGGGATTTGGTGAGAAATTAGGTCGGGGATCTAAGATCGAGATTGGTGTGTAGGCAATGTAGAGTCATCACCCACCATTCTCCTTTCTTCTCTATCAACTCTCTTGTTGCCAATTCTTCATATATTGTTTCCAAGATCTTTTGTATAAATTAATACATGATAATAAACAATACTTCATATAGAATATAGAGATACTTCTATATTTACTGCATGTTTGGTTTAGATTTTTCACCTCAAAAAATCAATTTTTTGATCGTTACTTTCCTTAGTCAGCTGTCATTTTTGACTTCTTCTCTTACATGTGGAACTCACTTTTCTCTCTAACGATCAAAAAATCGATTCTCATAATCACTTTTTTTTTTTTTGTCTTCATTTTTATATATTAAAATCTATATTGGAGGTATGACATATATAAAAATTGATTTAATTTATCTATATAAAAAATATTGATAGTAAAGTTAACAATGATACATTTTATTCCCAGTATCTTTCATGATTTGATTAAAGATTTGTGTAACTTCGATTGATAACTAGACATAAATTAATCAAAACCCAATAACTAATTATGTATGTCCGAACTAGAGCTAGTATTGGTGACCGTTTGGACCCCATTATTTCCTAAGAAAATATTTTGAAATAGTAAGTTAATAGTTAAAAAATAAAAAAAAAATTGAATTTGCACATAATATTATTTTATTAAAAAATATGTGGACCAAAATAAAAAAGAGAAAAAATATATGTTTAAAATAGTGGGGATCAAACAAAGGTTAAAATTAGCGTGACAAAAATGAAGACTTTCTAACTACATAGACAGACATGTAGAGCTTGTTTGATCCTCATTATTTGAATTTATAATGGAGGAATAATAATTTTTTTGAAGATTGTGTGGTTGAAAAGTTTTTGATTTTGATATAATATTATTTTATTAAAGATTGTGTAGTTGATAATAAGAGAAAGAAAAAATTAAATTAAATATTTTTTTTAAATGAGAACTCTACAAATTAATGATGTCCACCGACGGTAATAACACAAAGATTAACGAGTCAAGCTTCCACTATAAAGATGATTGGAGAAAGTAACAGAGAATCTTTAGGGCATAATTAATATTGACTTGCATCCCGCCGCCCCTCTCCCATGATGAAACTTTGGCACATGAGACGTGGCGAATAAATAAGAAGATAGATATGCCCACGTGGCTCATTCAAAACACAGCCGAGCTGATGGTGCCCACTCAGGCGGCGCTTGCTTTTCAACACGTCACCGTCTTATTCTTCGCCAGTCGCCACCCCCACGTGATTGGGTCCCTTCAATGTTTGTTGTTTTCCTATATGTGCATTATGAATTAGGGATTGATTTGGCTCCCATTTCACCTTATTAATTTCATTTCATTACATTTTTTTTTAATCACACAATCTTTCATAAAATAATATTATACGTAAATTAAAAATTTTTCTTTTTTTTTCAACCACTTATTTTTTAAAAAAATATTATTCCAATCATTTTCATTTTTCCAAAATGGAGGCCAAACTGGAGCTTAGAATCTGTTTGATTAATTTTATAAAAGTATTTTTCTATTTAGAATTTTTTTTATAGAAAATTGAATTACAATTTAATCAAATTTTTTAAAATCAAAGTAATAAATTTTATTCTTTTTTAAAAATCGGTTCAAACACACCCTTGAGTTCTTTAAAAATTAAAATCGAACTTATCAGTTATATATATTGGCATGGAAAACAGCAGGAAGCCGCGTGGAGCGGCTGCTATCAAAGTAGACCTAAAGTCTACTCCACAAACTCCGAAAAGGGCCCTACCGAAAGGCGCGGATGCTGAATTTTGCAGCGTGGACCCCACTGCTTCCTGGTTTGTTACACTGACACACATCAATTTTTTTTTAATCACATTATAAATAAATACAAAAATATTTGAGCTTTTTAAAAAAATAAAAATTAGGTGAGATTATAAATTGAGGGCGGCGAATTAAATTAACACTTGGCGTCCACCTTAGGCACGACATGTAACCCGTCAACACGGTATTTCTGAAAGTGGGCCCGCATTTGGATGCTGTCGCGTGAGCCGCCTGTCTCGCCGTCGGTGGTATTGAGTGCATTTTTTCATTTGCTTTTGTGCTGCTTTTTGACCCATTCATTTCTCCATTTTAATACTCCTAGGCTCCTAGCTAAATTTATTTATATTTTTGTACCAATTATAGTATCGTTTGCTTATTTAATTTGTTTAATTATAATCAATTTTTTTATTTAACTTTAAAATTGTACAAATATAGATAAGGGTAAATCATTTTTTTTTTTTAGCAAAAATTACTTTTTAAACAATATTAATAAGATTTCTTAATCTATGTAAAAAAAAAAAATGACAAAAGGAGTATCATTTTTTGAAGTATCATTTTTTTTGCAAGTAATGCTGTTCAATATCATTTATGTTAGTCTATGTAACAGTTGTATGACTTTAAATGTCCACTAAAATATAATGTCATGCAATTCATTTAATTGAACATATCAAGTAAAACTATCTACACTGATGCTATATAGCATTATTTTTTATTTAAGTACTTTTATATTCTTTATCGTCTAAATAATTACCCTCATATTTTGATTTTTTTTCCCCTATATTTTTTAAGGTTCAAAGATAGAAGTGTATATGTGATAATGAGTCACCTCAAATAGTATTTTTGTAATTTGTTAAGATAATTTCGAAATTTTTATTTCTCCTATACATACATGAATGTAATATAATTAAATGGATAAATGGACCATTAATTAGTTGGGACGAGCTAGTCAGATCGATAATCTTGCCATCGAGTCAAACTTATGACATCAAATAGTCCATGCCCTTACGATAACTAAAGTTTCCATCTCACGTGATCATATAAATCAAGTCAATCAATGTCATCCATTTTGCGAATAAAATGGTCGTGTAAATTTAAGATAATTATGATCACTTTATCCTACTTATATATTTCGTTGGGAAAATAAAAATAAAAATAAAAATTGCACATTACCTGACTGAATTTATGAAATACTTGAAAATCTAATTCATTATTGCTAAATCTGTTAATGTTTCACTAGCATTAAAACCCACTCAAATGCATAAACATTTATCTTTTTATTAAGTTGTACGTGTCACCATAATACCCAGAATGATATATTAAGTACTTTATTTAGCTTATGTTGAGTGCCAATTTGAATTGATATATCATATCATAGTGATCGGCTTAGCATCAGTTCTTAATTGATAATTTAACATACACTTCTGATTGCTTGGCACCACACAAATGTCAAGGAAGCTCAGACAACAAACCGTCCACTGGAATATTTGATTTGATACAGTGAGATCATCTCTAAGAATCTTTTAATATAAAATATTATATATTTTGAAGAGTTAACGCATAAAAATAAGTTTTAAGAGACTATCTATTTTTACTTTTTAAAATAAAAAGTGAGTTTGCCTCGCTTTACTTCCTAAACCATTCAACTACATTTTGATTGACAATTGATATATAAAAAATTATGTTAAATTAAATATGATAAAAAATCAATAAATATTTCTTAAGAATAGGGAAATAAAAAATCAAAATGGAGGGCATTGTTGAAGTATATAAAAATTTTGACTCTTTCTATAATTTAAAAGTTGCTCTACCAAAAGCAGATGATAGTGGTACATAGGACCGAACAAAACTTTTGAATTGAACTAAACCCGACCTGAACAAAATCAAATAGAATGATTCTTCTTAAATTAAATTCCTGAACGTATATGAATCTATAATCAACGCGTTCGATTCTCGACTCTTAATCAAAAACCAAATAATAGAATAAAAATCGAATCTACCTAATTTTTTTAATTGATTTATTTTAAATAATTCAAATTATTTTATTTTTTAAAATAAATTTACTAACTAATTAATTTAGCCCAAATTCAAAAGTATGATTTTTTTATTTTTTTTTAATCTCCAATTTTCAGTCCAACAATTCTATTCACTAAATCTTGAAAAATTCGGATCCATTTCGAACCGGACCATGTCCACTTTATTGATACGTACTTTCAGAATTTCTTTCATCTAGCATCATTAATGTATGTTAAAGGTATCTTTTTTTTAGCAAATTTCGAGAAAAAAAGTATAAAATTGCATTTAATAAAATAATTAAATTAGATTTAGCCAAAAAAGGGAATGAATTCTATTTGAAAGATCTAAACAGCCGGCCGTCAACACAGTCATTAATTAACAACCAAAGAAATTACAACTAATTTCGTCGGCTGAAAAAAAGAAAAAAGAAAAAGAAAATAACAAAATAAAACATTTCGAAGTTATTTACTGACGTCATGATTAAGGTTCAAGCTCCACTAATGGAGGCAGATTAAGATCGAGATCAAGGCCCCTCTTTGCAATTGTGTCAGTTCCATCAACAACAGAGGAAGAATCTGAATCACTCTGTGCGGCGCCGCCACTACGATAATCAACTGCCACCGTGTTCGGCAGGTAGGATCCGGCACGGTGGTCTACCATCAGGGGCTGCATCAATTGCTCGAAGAAAAAAACCTGCTGTCCATTTGGCATCAACGCCATGGTCGGCCGATGGTGCAAAAATTGATACCCATTAACATGAAGACGACCCCCAACACCACCAGCACCGATTTCGTCCACCTCGGCGGTGGCGGCACCAAGGCGGCGCGTGAGATCCAGCTCGATCGGCGCGTGCTGTTTGTTATCGGCAATGGACGACTCCACGGTGCTGCTGTGGCTGGGACTATGGTCCTCAGAGGGCAAGAGAAAATTGGTTTTAGCCTTAGGCCCACGAAACTCCCTTGCAGCGGCGTCATATGCCCGCGCCGCCTCTTCCGCCGTGTCAAAAGTACCCAACCAAACCCGACTCCGCTTACTCGGGTCACGGATTTCGGCGGCGTAGCGGCCCCATGGTCTCTTCCTCACACCTCTGTAGTGCACCTCTTTAACCACCCCACTAACTTTTCCATTTCCTCCCTTGATACCACTAACCTTATCCTTGGCAGCCATCAAATTCAAACGTTTCATAAGTCTAATTCTTATTCTCCCGAGTCGAGACTGAGTGAACAATGAGTTGCAAGAACGAGTTGATGGATGAAGAACAAAAGGGTGAAGGCCATTATATATAGGAAAGCGAAGAGAGAGAAAGTGAACATGAGGGCTCGGTCAACGAAGTGTTAGTGTGTGAAAATTTGTTGTGTAAGAAGAGGGGGTAACGTGGCACGCTAGAGTTGCAGGAGACAAGGGCTCCTAAGACGTTGATGTGCCGGCATTACTACTGTACACCGCCGTTATTTATGGGATTTGATCCGTTAATTGCTCCCAACGCTCCTTTTTGACGCCGTATAATGGACCGTCAATAATTAATGAGAGTAACTAAAATACCATAGAAAAGAAGCAGCAATAATTTCAGCGAACTTTAAATCCCCATTTGGCCCTAATTTTTTTTTTTAAATTTTACTGTTTAAAATAGTATTTTTTTGAAGAATGTGTGTTTAAAAAGAATGAATTTTTTTCGATTTATGTGTAATATTATTTTATATAATTAATTTAAAAAATAAAAATTTAAATCCTTTTAGTTAAGACCAAAAATAAAAAAATAAAGAAAATCTTAATAAATAATTATAAATTAACGAAATTGAGAAAAGTCGTAATGACCTGTTCAAAATAACAAGGCACAAAAGCGGTGAACTGCCGACCCTTGTAATGAGCCAGCCGTCTTTCCCTCTTCGATTTATACGTACAATCTGTTGGCCCCACAATTTTATACCTAACAAGCCGTGTATGCGTCACTCAATTTTCTTCCTTCCCCTTGTTTGGTGGTTTGGTATTTGGGAAATTTGTAGATGAGATCTCAAACTTTTCAAAAAAGTGCACCGTGATCTCAAACTTTTAAATCATAACGTCAATAGACTGTTAATTCATTTGCAATTTTTGGGAAGTCTGTGGTTAACACTCCATTTTTCACTGCATGTAAGGTATTCACTATATTCAAAAGTGTTAACTAAATCAAATCAAATCCAATCTATATAATGTACTTTAAAAACAATGTGTTTGTGTCTTTTATGGTAAATTATATTAGATTTCAATCACTTGTGTATTAGATAAAATAATAATCACATTTCAACAATATTGAATTAACTAATATTTTAAAAATCGATGCCAAAACAGAAAAAGGGCCAGGGTCAAATGATCGAATAGTTGTCAAACCTGATGTCAAAATTGAATAAATAAATACTCACGTAAATTAAAAAAATATTATTATAACAACATAATTTTTTTTTAGTTTAAAATTTACTAATTCAAAGTAAATATAAATTTATGTTTATTAATTAAAATTATTGTCCTAATTTATTTTAAAACTTAGAAAACTAAAAATTATATGTCCAAAATAATTGCTTTATTCAAAGAGTTAACTCTTAAAATTATGCTCCAACAAACCCTTTAAATTAATATTTTAAAATAGAAAGTTAGTTTGGCTATTTAAATTTGAAGAGCTAAACACACACTCTATAATAAAAAGCAATCAATTTTCAATTGGGGGAAATAATATAATAATTGGGTGGGAAGCAGGTAAAAATAAAACATGGGAAAAAATAATAAATGTTGTAAATGGAAAGTCCATTAAAGTTTATTGGTGAATGACATTTGTACCCTTGTAGCCCTAGAAATTATTACCATTGTATCTCTGATTCTTACCTATAAATATAGGGCTTTGGTTTTCAATAATATACACAAAAAGTTTATTGAGTTTTCTCTATTCTCTTTGAGTTTTCTCTATTCTCTTTTCCTCTAATTTTATAACACGTTATCAGCACGAAACTCTTAGGAGATAGTAATTTTTTTTCATAATCATCTATCACGTATATCAAAATTAATTTGATAATACGTGAATTTTACATATACATATGTTGAATCTACAATACGTGATTTCATCTTTCTCGATCATTATATTTTCTTTGTACCTTTCTTTGCATTAATTAATATTTTTTTCCTTTACATCAATCTACGTGCATTTTTATGGAGATATATTTATGTTAAATCAATTGATATGCATTAATTCATGTTCCTATACCCTCCTTATATTTAGATTAGCCCTTTACGTTCTACACATGCTCTTTGTAAGCAAGTTTCAATTCCAGATCTCTATTTTGGCTGATTCCATATATATATAATATATAATTAATAAATAACTGTACCCAACTCATCTTTTCTCTCAAATCCATTGGTTTCTGCAAATTTCATGCCTTAATTGGTTAATATTAATTCAATTCTTTTAATTGCACATAATTAGAATTTCATGCCCTAATATGTGAATAGGTTTCTACATGTCACCAATTTTTTTGTGTTTCACTCGACTCACGTTATTAATTCAAAATAATATTTTACATGTGTTTGTATATTAATTAATGGTGAGCAATTGGATGTATTATCATTTTTTTATGTTTAGTTATGAAACATTACATTAAATTTATTTTTAATTGTTGTTACTCCTGAAATAGCACAACATTATAATTAATATTCCAGAAAAATATTAATCATAGATCTATTCGTTGTTGCTCCAGAAGTAGCACAACATTATAAAAATATTTTTTGCTCCTGAAGAGTATAAATTATAACTCTCAATATTTCAAAAGAATGTTGACATATTGCACTTGAAGAAATAATAGCAAAATATAATGTGCTCCAAAAGTAGCATATGTCTCGAAGAACATATTATTTCAAATTAGTGTTTATCCCAAGAGGAAAACATGTAACTTAAAGTCATGTTGATATTGACTATTTGATTAACATGTGATGATTAATCATATTTTTCGAAACTAATTATATTTTTTTATTGTGTAGTTAAACAAATAGCAAACATTATGAAATTTGAGTTTGCTGCACTTGACATATCTGGTAAAAAATTATCTGTCATGGATACTGGATGCTAATATCTATCTCGTCTCAAAGGGTCTGGGAGAGACAATAAAAGAAGGAAACAATGAATCCCTGCAGGATCGTGCAAAAGCTCTCATTTTCCTCCGTCACCATCTTCACTATGGATTAAAAATTGAATATCTCACTGAAAAAGATCCACAAGTTCTTTGAAAAAAGTTAACTGAAAGATTTGATCATCAGATGACTATAGTCCTCCCCAAAGCCCATTATGAGTGGATGCACTTTCGTTTGCAAGACTTTAAAACGGTTAGTGAGTACAATTCTGAATTGTTCAGAATATGTTCAAAATTGACTTTGTGTGAAGAAAAAATCATCTATGAAGATATGCTGGAAAAAACTTTCTCCACCTTTCATGCCTCGAATGTGCTCCTGCAGCAGCAATATCTTGAGCGTGGCTTCAAAAAGTACTCAAAACTTATATCTTGCCTACTAGTTGCTGAACAAAATAATGAATTGTTGATGAAAAATCATGGATTACGTCCAACTGGTTCTGTATCATTGCCTGAAGCAAATGGTACTATATTATCTGAAGCAAATACAATATCAAGACAAGGACGTGGACGCGAACACAGACGTGTATGTGGAATAAATCATGGAAGAAATAATCAACAAAGTTATCAACAACAAGGCAATAAATTCAAAAGGCACAAAGCAAACGAGAGTAGCAAATCTAAAAAGGAGCATGAAGAAAGTTGCTTCAGATGTGGAATGAAAGGGCATTGGGCACGTACGTGTCGCACCTCAAAACATCTTGTGGATCTCTACCAGAGATCAATCAAGGGAAAAGAAAAATTGAAGACTAATTTTGTTGATTATGATGGTCCAATTGATGTGACTCATTTGGATGTCTTCGTTTCTTTACTGATCCAAATGAAAATGTTGACCATTTGGTTGGGGGTTGTGTGATAGAAGATATAGATTAATTTACTAGTATTTCTTTCATTTTAAAAATTCAGTCTGAAATATGTTTTTACTTTTCCACACGAAAAAATAAATAATAAAACTCTATTATGCACCGTTTATTTCATGATATTAAGTAATGTTTACTTTTTTAAATCTAAATTCAAGTTTTTTTAAAAAATTTTTTGTTTATTTTGTTATATTTATAGATTCATGATGGATAGTCAAGACAGCTGCTTAATTGATAGTGCAACTACACATACTATTTTTCAAGACAAAAAATACTTTTTGGACTTAATATTAGCTGAAAATAATATTAACACGATATCGGGTACGTTGAATATCGTTGAAAGCTCCGGAAGAGCTTGTATTATTTTACTAAATAATACAAAATTATAGATTGACGATGCACTTTATTCTAGCAAATTCAGAAGATATTTGCTTAGTTTTAAAGATATTCGCTGCAATGAATATCACATTGAGACGATGCAAGAAAATAATGTTGAATATCTTTGCATCACTTCTTTTGTATCTGACAAGAAGCAGATAAAAGAAAAATTTCATGCACTCCCGTCTGACATGTATTTTACATTTATAAAAATGGTCAAATCAAATAATGTTACGAACCAGAAGTTCCTTGATTCAAAAAGTTTTACACTTTGGCATGATTGACTTGGACATCCAGGAGCCATAATAATGCGTTGAATAATAAACAACTCACATGGACATCCTTTAAAGAACTAGAAGATTCTTTTATCTAATGATTATTCATGTGTAGCTTGTTCGTAAGGCAAGTTATTCATTAGACCTTTAACTACTAAGGTCAATATTAAATCTCCAACTTTTTTGAAAAAAATACATGGAGATATATGTGGGCCAGTACACCAACCATGTGAACCATTTCGTTACTTTATGGTATTAATTGATTCTTTTACAAGATGGTCACATATTTGCCTACTTTCAATTAGGAATGTAGCATTTGCTAGACTACTTGCTCAAATCATAAAATTGCGAGCACAATTCCCCGATTACTCAATCAAGACTATTCGTCTTGACAATGCTGGTGAATTTAGATCACAAGCATTTGATGATTATTGTATGTCAATTGAGATTGAAATTGAACATTCAGTTGTACATGTTCATACACAAAATGGTTTAGCGGAATCATTTATTAAACATCTACAACTTATTGTTAAACCATTACTTATGAAAACAAAACTCCCAACTTCTGTTTAGGGTCATGTCATATTACATGCTGCAACATTGGTTCGTATTAGAC